GTGTGTGTGTGTGTGTGTGTGTGTGTGTGTGTGTGTGTGTTTCTGCAGGCTCGTCTGTCCATGGAGCTGCAGAGAGATAGCCACATCAAACAGCAGCAACTGATCCAAGAACGCTGGAAGAGAGAAGCTCGCCGTGAGGCAACCAAGGCCCGGCCCAGCCTGGTGCAGCCTCCTGGTGGTCCGAGGGTCCCTGCGGACGCTCAGCATCCAGACCAGCCTCAGGTTCACAGCAGCCTCTCAGCTGAACCCAGCGGCGAGAGGGAATACGACACCTTACTTTATCAATTTCAAGTCCGACAGACTCACAACTGCCAGCCTTCGACTCCCCCGTGCTCTGGGTCTAAAACCATTAAAGATGACAAAACTCGTCTTGAAGAGCAACAGACCACCATTGAAGACCTGCGGCGCCTGGTGGACCACCTAATGAATGAGAACCAGCGCCTGTCATCCGATAACGACAGGCTGAGTTTGGAAAACGCGCGGCTGCATTCGGAGGCGGCGGACTTTGTGGAGCGCTCGGAGCTCTGGGTGCTCCCACAGGCAGGGAGCGTTATGGGAACAGGAAGTGGGCATGAGAGGAAGAGTACTGGAAAAAACAAGGAGATCGCCATCCCTCAGCTGCCCCCGCTGGAGATGCCAGCTGAGGAGGATCTGTGTCTGGACAACCTGCCGCCCCTGGAGCTGCCAGAGGACATCCAGAACGAGCTCCAGGAGCTGCTGGACATGGACAAACTGTGATGAAATGACATCACTGTCATCATCATCATCATCATCCTCATCGTCATCAAATCAGTTAAACTGCTCAGCTTCAGTTCAAACACCAAAGTGCAGGACATAAACCTCAAATTTAAATCTAGATTCTTCATATTTACAAAACAAGGATCAAATGAAGGAGATTTTCACTTTGAAAACCTTTCAGGTGTTCATGAGTTCTGTGGTTCTGTGAGAAATGTCTTCTGTCAGATTTATATCTAATTACTGTCAGAAATACTCCTGCAGGAAAACTTTTAGCTGCTGCAGTTTGAAACTTCATTTCACTTAAAGCCCAGCCTTCCTTCACATTCAGTACTACATCCTCCACTCAGACTAGCCGTTAGCTCATCAGTGCAGGTTCACAGAGCAGACAGGTAAGATGTTTGTTGTTCATATCTTTCCTACAGAAACCCTTTAAGACATCAGGAAGTCCCAACAGTAAAAGCACCAGTGATGGAAGCAGAAGTTTAAAGGCCTGGATGATGCTGAGGTGTTCAGGTGTCGGTGGCAGGATAAGGTGGCTTCCTGGTGGATAATGTTTGTTCAGGTTTTTCTTTTTAAATCAGAAAATAATTAGTTTGAAAACAGCCAACAATCATCTTAACTCCAAACACATTTTCTTTTTGCCTGTTGAATGTTGTGGGTAAAACGATGTGAAGCACATGAGAGCAGGATGGTGCAGAAAAAAGATGAGTTTTCCCTGCAGCCGTCTGTTCGCACCGAGGCTCACACTGAACGCTCCACCACTGAGCATGAAGGAAAGGGAACCAGTACTACCAGCACAGGACTGCAGAAAGTTCATTTGATAAAAACTGTGGCTGCATTTTGATATTCATGTAGCAGAAAGTAAAGGCATGAATGATGAGTGTGTGGATATTCTTTATGTTTTAGTCATTAAAACTGAGTAATGAAAGCCTAAAACTGCTTCCACCCAAAGGTCCAATATAACCTTTTAATAATCTGAGGGTTAAAGAGGAAAAACTGCTTACATTTGGATTAATGCAGGAATATGAAGTGTGGTCAGCACAGACCTGTCACTGCCTCACTGCTTGACTGAGAGGCAGACAAACAGGTCACACGTGTCAGAGGAAGTTCTGGTGTCACTGCAGCCTCCATGGTTCACAGTACTTTATGTTACATCTCTGCTTTATGGTGACAAGTTTTCAATCCTTACAGTTTTAAAGAGAATCTTTCAGCCAAACAGCCTAATCTGTTGACGTTTGGGTGTGTGCTCTGTGTTAACTACAGTGTTGAATAAAGTACCACAGAGTGATACTTGAGTAAAAGTACAAGTATCTTAGCAAGAAATTATTTAGGTAAAAATTAAAGTCTCCTAAAGGAGACTTTAATTTTTACTTTTTCTCCTTTAGGAGACTTTTACTTGAGTAAAAGTCTTAAAGTATCTGATATTTTTTGTACTTAAGTATTTTACAAGCCGTTAGATTTTCTGTAAGGACATTTATTAGGAGGTGACCTAAAAATGTAAAAATGACTAATTAAAACAGTGGTTCTTAACCTGGGTTTGATCGAACCCTGGGGGTTCGATGAGCCGGTCTCAGGGGTTCG